CGAGGAAGCGCACTTCTTAAATCTACACCAGCCTTCCTCGCTCTACCCACACAACTGCCACTCCCCTTGCTTCACTGCCAACGGCCAGCTGTCTCCACAACCGTCGAGATAGTCCAGTCGCGGCAAGGACAAACCAGTTACCCCTAACCCCGTACATCTGCCCAATGCCCTATACTGCGCTGCTGCCATCCATTCACGCCCAAACACCAAACCCGTGTCCAAGCCACACTTCCTCCCAGCTTTCCGCAGTCACACGCAACTCTCCTCTTACCCACCCACTCATCCACCATTTGCTGGAATCCTCATACACTCTCCCCAATATAACGAAAACAAATCCTCTCCGCCTTTGCACTTCATCGCGAAATTTCCACCATTCACATCATGCGCAGATTCGCGTTCTCCTCAACTCATAACCACCACTACCTCGAACTCTCCTCTCAGACACTCGTCAACGGTCTCCCCGCTACTTCCACGCTTCCTCGCCTTCGCGACCCTTCTCTTATTGAGTGTGCAATGCTGAAAGCCTCCTTTTCAAGATTCAGCAACCTATGCAATTCAGGCACCAAAGACCAAATAAAAGAGCACATCATTCGGCCGCCCAGTCGAGAAAAGAGGTGCAGTAATCGCGCATGTGTTGTCTCATCTTCCCCGAACCACTATGTGACTGCTGACGCCTGCCACGCCCTTCAATTCACCGACATTAATTACACCGTTAGCGTCTTTCCCTTCCCTCCCATGCTTCGCATTGCGCACCTCCTGTGTGAAAAGCCATTATCCACAAGTCCCAACCATGCCGTTTGCCACTCTCCTCTCTACAGCCCTTCAACACCCGCCCAACTCTCCCGCGCTCTTCACCCACCTCCCCTGTTCCGCATCCTCCACGCCCGTCCTTCATCCTCCACATTGTGCTGACACAAGTTATAAGCTTGCTCGACTGCCAACAATCAGCCTGCTGTCGCATACATGCATCCGTCAATATGACGTGCACTGCGCAAAAGCACTCTGCGCGCTGGAAACCCAGGCGACAAGCCACTCACTCACCGCAAGTCCACAGACGCCGTCTAACCACCTATGGCACTTACACCAAACGCGAAAGCCACGCACGCAAGCCCGACAAAGCAGTCAGACGCTATGCCCAACCATCCAATAGCCCCCAGCACCTCCGCCATGATTGCCCTGCTCCGCCCTCATGGTCAAAACAAACGCACTTCCTAAATAAGCATGCCCAGACACACCTCTTCACACAGCTTTTCTCCACACGTCACGACCCTCTAACAACACCTTTCTCCCAGCGTATAAATCTGCCAACGCATACCCTCCAGACATAGCGTGCGCCCTGTCCTCCCCCGCTTTACCCACACAACTGCCAGTCTCAACGAATGAAACAGCGACAATCACTCGCACTTGGCCGATTGCAACGAGGCAATTGATGCCATGGTTTTGCGCTTAGGCCTGGTAAAAAGCCAGCGGCAAACCACGAGGCAAACGGTGGATGCGCTGCTCACGCTCCAGCCACTCCGCACAAGACGGCCGTGCACGCAAGGGTACTCCAGACTCCCGCAGCCTCAAAACAAACCCTCCACCGTCTGCCTCAAGGCAACGAATGGCACACACAAACAACATGTGCCCTGGTGTCTTGCGCCATACTGAAGAGCGCGACACTGTTTTCCTGCCACAGGGAGGCTGCCGCCTCAACAGTTAGGCTAGTCCACCTCGATTTGCCATTCCTTGGCGTGCGTCTGCGCCCGACGCTACGGCCGGCATTGATGCAATGAAGTGGCAGCCACACAGGAATGCCGTATCGACAGCATGTTTCCTTCCAACATTCTGCACCCACACAGGATTCTCTCGCATAGCACCCGTTCATCCACGATAGGCTTGACACCTGCTACGCCGCATCTGGCACCTACACAAAACGCCAAAGCCACAGAGCCAAAGCACTAAGAAAGCTCTACGTTGCTCCCAATCATCAAATCATTACTGACGTCAGCGGCACACTGCCATGGCGCTCATCCAGGGTGCAGAGGTACGGCAAACGCATGTTCTGAATCAACAGACATGTTCCACTGAAGCAGCCGCCTCCACTGCGCCCCATGACATCCAACACCCACCTAACATTAACGCATGCGCTTCTTCACGCACAGAATAAAACACCAAGTGCTGCCCCGCACAGTCCCGACAACGCGTATATTCGCCCAACGCAAAGCAATTGTCTTGCCGATACAGATTTCCGTGCATACATCGACAGACAACATGCACCCCTTGGAACAACACAACTCGACAGAACCTGCAATACAGCCGCCAAATGGTGTTGCAAAAGCCAGCTGCATTTCTGCAATCCAAGACGGCTGCTTCATGACGCAAAGTGAAGAGCGAGGTGCACGGGGGCCGGTAGTTGCAATGCCTTACCTCCCCGCCTACCCTCTAGCTAGCCGGCTTTTTACCCAGCCATTCCACCAATGCAAAGGCACGGAACAAACAACACTACGCGCACCCACTCTGCCGCGGGAATTGCGGCATATTGCGTATCTTCACGGTGGGCTGTTGTGAAACGCCATATGCAAACCGCTAGATAAACATCGCCCGCGTTGCTCCAGCGGCCGCCCACACAGCACCCACCACCAGAAGGGTATTCCACAAGCCCGCAGCCTCCAAAGAAGCCGGCGCCCAAATGTACCGACGGATGCTATCCACAAAGGCCATGTGCCCGGTCGTTTCCCCACCTACCCACACAAGTGCCACCCCCCTGGCTTCACCGCCAACGGGCAGCTGCTCCCGTTGCTCCTCACATGCTCTACACGCTGCATTCTGCGCTGATGCTATGCATTGACCCTCAAAACCCAAAGTCGCATCCAAGGCACCCTTCCTCCTAGCATGCTAGAGCCACCCGCAACTCTCCCAGCTAGCGCCCACTCATCACATCAGTAATGAGTTTGACGACTGTTACGCCGTATCTGGCACCTACTCCAAACGCCAAAGCCGCAGGCATAAAGCACACAAAACAGCTCTACGCCGTTCCCAATCAGTTAACTATCACCGGTACCTGCACTAGCATGGGTGCTCCACCCCCTGAACAGGTAAAGCAAATGCACCTTCTGAATCACTACGCCTGTTTCACTGGAGCCGCCACTTCATTTGCACCCTCGCGCGCATATGCTGTCCCTTCATGATCAGCGGTAGTCAAAACCCAGATGCAAGTCACGAGAGAAAAGGCGCCTGCGCGACTGAAACTCCAGCCACCTGCTGCACGTTACCCATCCACACAAGGGAACTCCACACTCCGCAGCATCCTAAGGAACCCGTTTCCCTGCACCTAAGTTCGCTGACAGATGCCATGCACAGACGCCATGTGCCCTGTTGTCTCTCCCTTATCCACACGCATGTCAGCCCTCTTGCTTCATTGGCAGCGGGCAGCCGTCTCTGCGAACGGTCAAGACATCCCACGCACCAAGACAGAACCTCTCTTCCTTCCTTCATTGCATGCCCCCTTAGGTGTACCACACACTAGTGCCACGCAATAACATCCAAAAAGCAAAGCCATGTCCAGAGCATGCTTCCACTTAACACTGTGCACACACCTCCAACTCTCCGGCCTATCACCTACGCATCCACGGTCTGTTGGACACCTGCTATGTTTTATTCAACTCAAAGAATATTGATCCGTCTCGCATCGGCTCCCGCAAAACGATATTCCTACTCCTCACCTCCTGCATGGATTAACGTTCTCGTAAACTCAGAGCCACTCTG